TATTCAATTACTGTTCCCTTTTCTCCCCAGACCCAGGTCGGGATCGTGTATCCCATTAACCAGTGCTGCAGCAATAGCTCAGAGCCCAGTTTCCCATCTTCTAGTAAAAAAACCCCAACCCCACCCCAAATTACCCAACATCTAAAGCCCAGCGAACTCCTTTCTGCTCAGCAAGAAACCCTCCTCTCAGGACACTGCAAAGATTTCATTTACCACCAATTGCCCTCTGGTTGTTTTACATTTATGGGGTGGGCACTGAAGAAAGGAAGCAAGCAGGGAGGGGGTGTAATTAGCTCTGCTTGGAAAACGTTCATCCCAGTTGTAACAGCAACTGGAGCCTGTCAGCGGCTTAAGAGAATCAGGGTTTTGTTCCTTGCTGAAGTGTCTGTGCTGGGTGGAGAAAAAAAAAGGGAAGAAAAAGAAATATATTAAGGGGGAAAAAAAAATAAAATCAATAAGTGGATCGTACTTCTTGCCACAAGCCCATATGGAAGTAATCAAGCACAAGGGTGGCAGCTGGGGCCAATAACAGTCACCTGCAGTTGAGGGACATGGGGGTTTCGGATGGGTTTTTAATGCTAATTTCCTGCAGGAACAATGCGGGAGCGGCAGCCGAGGCGGGATGAATGGGGCCCAGCGGGAACAATGGCTGCACCTGGCGCCGGGAGCAGCGGCACGGAGCCGGCACGCGGCCGCGGCACATCTGCTGCGCGCAGCCCCCGTCCCCCCGCGCTGCGCCCGCAGCCCCGGCTCCAGCGCACGGCGCCGCTCGCTGCAACAGGTTGAGAGGGGCTGGGGCTCTGCCACCGCTGCCCCTGGCTTGGGGCGAGCTCAAGGGTGGGGCTCAGCGCTCCTGAGGGCTGCTGGATGCTGGAGAGGGGCTGCTTCATCAGCGGCTGCAGTGACAGGGCAGGGGGTGATGGGTTCAAACTGAAACAGGGGAAGTTCGGGTTAGGTATAAGATAGAAGCTCTTCCCTGTGAGGGTGCTGAGGCGCTGGCACAGGGTGCCCAGAGAAGCTGTGGCTGCCCCATCCCTGGCAGTGTTCAAGGCCAGGCTGGACAGAGCCTTGGGTGACATGGTTTAGTGTTAGGTATCCATGCCCGTGGCAGGGGGTTGGAACTGGATGATCTTAAGGTCCTTTCCAACCCAGTCTATGATTCCATGATTCTTGGGTTGGTTTTGGTGAAAGAGATGCCTTTAAAAGGGACAGATACGCAGCATCCCACCGTCAGGTTGTGGCAGCCTGTTGCTGGAAGGAAAACTGATTCTTGGCTTTGTAGTCTCCATAGGACTGGAGAGCAACAGAGCAGCAGATCTGCAACAGTCCTGGTTCTTCCTGTGAGTGTCCTCCTTCAACAGCACAAGTCCTGTTACGGACATGAAGGACTGGAGTCCCGCACAGGAGCACACCAAGGAAATTCAATACACGTTATTGTAAAACCTTAAGCTTGGCTTGCAAAAATGCCACTGCCCAGCCTAGTAAAAGGCATGATTGTTACACTTTAAAATGCTTTGAAATGACTCTTGCCCATTCAGACAGGAGCCACCAACACACAAAGCACTGCTAAGGTCAAGGCCCTGCCTTGGCAAATTGCTTGCAGACCCAGGAACTGAACCCAAAGCCCTCCTTGCTGCACTTCAGCTGCAGGATCATCACTCACCAGTGCTTCCTGGCTTCTCTCTTGCTCTAAACAAAGGTTTTTCCAGCCTTTCCCTGAATGCTGCATGAATTAAGACAGTCCCCATCACAAATATAGAAGTTGCTCAAGCTCCCAGAGACCTGCAGTGATGCTGCCCCCAGGGACTGCTCTGGAATGTCTGTCAAAACACATTTCATACCTAGCTTCTAACAAGCAGTCAGATACGGAAGCAGTCACTAGATGCTAGGATGAAGGCAAGCTTATGATCTAGGCCAGAACCAGTATAGGTAAGCCAGCTCTTATTGTGGGAAAACGACCCAACAGGCAACAGCTTACAACCATCTCCCATTTGGGTTTAAGAACCAGCCTGCGTTCCCTTAAATCTGCTACATATGCCCAAGTCCTCAAATGACTTTCTTCAGCTCTCCAGCACCACTATAAACATCGCGCATACACGTCAAACAAATCTTGTGTTTTAGCCAAACCCTAAAAAAAACAGAGCTGGAAAAAACAAGAGGCCACCTGGCTCACCCATCCCAGCAAGAGCCGTGGGAGCGGGCTGCCTCCTGCACGCTGCTGCTTCTCTGGGTCAATACAGGGACCAAAGAGCTGGTTGCCCCGAATATAGCTCCTGAAACGCTCTTTCCTGCTGTCCCCCTCCAGTGATCACCTCCACAAGCCAAACCCCACTGTGAGCAATGTGTGACAAAGCTCTGTAAAGCAGCACTTAGGGACTCTCAGTGATCTGACATACAAGGCAGCAGCAGAAGTGAAACCCTGCTCTCCGGGGGACACTGGTCCTGCAAGAGTAAGAGGAGTAAAACAGAAGGGAAAAAACAAGCCAAGAGCCTGCCCCACGTTCACGTGAGCAAAGCTCCCTTCGCTTCTGGCTTGAGCAGGTTGAAACGAGCCTCTGCAAAAACCAGCACATTCAACTTGCAAAAATAGCAGCAGCGCCTTGGAAGTGAGCAGGGGCTGTGGCTCCAGGCCTTGGGCAGAGCAGAACCTGACTTGGCAGCATCAGTCTGGCGTTTTCACTAATAAATGGAGTTTCTGCTCTTTTCCTCGGGGCATTCCCTGTGTAACACATTTCTCAGAGTAACGATTTATTCTCCTTGCCTTTAGCGAATCTGATCCTTCCTCAGACCCTTCGAATCCTTCACTTGGCCTCCCGCAGTTTGCTGTTGGCAGGGTTTGCTCACACTGCCTTTGCTGTACCCCTTCTACCTTGGTTCTTACACTGCAGTCTCTTAGTTTTGCATAGTTGCAGGTTTCTCTATGATAGAGCACGGCTGCCCCATCCCTGGCAGTGTTCAAGGCCAGGTTGGACACAGGGGCTTGAAGCAACCTGCTCTAGTGGAAGGTGTCCCTGCCTGTGGCAGGGGGTTGAGGAGCTTTAAGGTCCCTTCCAACACAAACCAGTCTGATTCTCTTCCCCAAACACAACCACCCCTCTCACCTGAGCACCAGCTCATCAGGCACACCAAATCCTTTCAAAAAATAGGGAAACCTGAGAAGAAAACCCAGTTTCCCACAGGGCTTAAGCAAGACACTGTAAATCAGCTACTTCATGTCTAAATCCTGCTGCCCTGATGCCGGCAAAACTTCCGTCTGCTGCCTCAGAGCCCAACCTGCACAGAGACAACGGGAGCAGATGCTCCAACATGCAGCGTTCCCAAATTCAGGAAGTCTTTGGGAGAGCTGCACAGAGGATCACAGCTCTCTGCCTTCAGAGATCGTCACCCTCTGTGCAGCTTGGCTGAAGATCTGCTGGGTTTCATTCCTCCTTTGTGAGACGGAGCTGCAGAGCATCAGGCAGCACACACTCCTCCTGCCTCCTCTCCAGGCTGTGAGGGATGCTCGGGAGGTGTTTGCCATGCTGCAGAAGCAGACTTACAAGAGCTCATTTTTAAACCCTGTACCCAAATGCTTGTGTGCTGCAAGAGAAGGGAAACCTGAAGGTGGCACACGCAGGGGCTGAGCCAGAGGAGCACAGAGCTGCAGCCCATGCAGCACCCTGCCAGGGACCTGGCCAGGCTGCACTGCGCTCTCCCTGGGGAATCCCTGTCACTTGGCACAGTGAGAACTAACCCGGACAAAGCAACAGCAAAGTGCCCCAAAGGGAATCACTCTGCACCAGCCTTGCAAGTACATGTCTCCCTTTCCCAGCCTGACAGCAAGTGATCTTCAACCACATTTTAGCTCCCCAAACTCTGAGCGCTGATTCTGGGGCACCTCCCATGGCTGGGGAGGGTTTCTCCAGCACATAAAGTCGGCTGTGAGTACCATCACACAGGAACCAAGGGCTGAATGGGGGAGAAAAAGCCAGTAATAACCCGGAGAGCCAGGCAGCAGCTCAGCAAACACGCAACAGAGGGATCCCTACAACAAGAGGGATCCCTACAACAAGAGGGATCCCTACAACAAGAGGGATCCCTACAACAAGAGGGATCCCTACAACAAGAGGGATCCCTACAACAAGCCACCCCCAAGAGCTGGAGGAGCAATTTGAGCCACTGAACCTTCCCAAAAATACCAGGGGGCAGGGGGATATGCAGGTTTAAAATACACATGAGGATCAGGAGATTATAATGGAATAAGTGAAAATACAGCAGCCTGCATCCCAACAGTGGAAATACATAGGGCAGGGAAGTGTGTTCTAGTAGCACAAAATTGATCCAAGAGATTTAGATGCTGGTAGCATCAGTTGCTGCTCAAGGAGTGCAAAGACAAAAAAGGGAGCAGCAGCCTCTGGCACAATGCAGAGGAGCACGGAAAACACAGAGAATATTAAGGAAATTTGGGAGCTGATGGAAGAAATCCACCTCTGCAGATTCCACACCCCCCCAGCTTCACTATCAGCAGGCAGAAATGAGAGTAAGGCTCGGTACAGCAGAGAAACGTGTTCTGCTAAAACACACAAACCCCTTCCTGCTTTCTCCCATTTCCCCAGCACACGCTGAATCCCAGCCTTCTGCGCACGGGGAGGTGTGGGGGGGAGAAAATACAAATCAGGAAAAGATAATAATCACCCATTCCATAGCAACACAGAGGAGCTGTACCGCAGCTCCCCTCCGAGAGAGTTGAGTGTTTTTTCAGCTGCAGAATCCACGCATGCCGCCGGCTCCTCTATTGAAGTTTCCCCCGGCAGAGCCACTGCAGAGGACAGGAGGCAGGGATGGGAGGCTCCCACCCTCTCCCTCTACCTGTGCTCAAGGTTGAGGTCCTCCCTGGACCACCAGCAAAACCCACATTGCTGTTCAAAGCTCCTTGTCAGCAGCCCAGCATCCCCCCACCCCCGCGCATCCCCACTGCGCCTTACCCAGTCCCCTTTAACAACAGACCCCTCTCTGCTTACCCTACACAGCGAGGCTGCAAGGATCCAGCTGCTGGTGGATACACCTATTTTCTTTGAAATATAAAGCAAAAGGGCTCTTCCTCCTCCTCCTCCTCCTCCACTCGTGATCTTCGAGCGCAGCCGGAGCCCAGCCTGCCTTCTCCTTTCATTAGCTGGACATGTGTCAGGTCCCGCACATCTGCGATTTCTCACTGCCTGGAGCCGCCTGTCCGATTCCAGGGAAACACAGATGGATCCCAGATGGGAAGGTCCTGCCAAACAGACCAGCTCTCCACCTTGCCAGAATACCCAGCTTAGAGGCACACACCCTGGGCTCCCTGCCTGCTCCCTGCCTGCGCCGCTGCTGCCAGGCTGCTCGCCAGCTGATGTCACCAAGCACACACCTACCAGCGCCTCGCAGCCCGCCTGACATTAACTTGTTAAATACATGGGATTTGTTTATGGCCGGCAATAACAGCGACAGGAAAGGAGGGGTTCACCAGAACGGGTCATCCCCAAACCCACTCTGCCTTTACACAGCGCTGGGTGCAACCCAGCCTTCATCTCAGCCCTCGATTTTGAAATCTGGATGAGCTGTTGGCTAAAGGAGGGAATTAATCCTGTGAAGGTTTCCCCCATGCACATAAATCTTAGCTGTAAAACTCCCCTCCAAGCCCCAGCGCCAGAGTTTGTGGCGCTGGAAAGCTGGCATGTGTTAGCAATTAGAAGCAACAACAAGATAACAAGATACTGATGTTGTGAGGGTACCAAAGGAGGACCCGAAAATTCAAAAGAAGAGCAATTAAATGTGTAACATATTACTGGGATCAAAAAGGAAGTGTTCAAGGAAAAAGTAAATCTGAACTGGTTTATACAGGGAGTAAACGCCACCAGGGATCTCACAGCAGCAAGGGAGGCTCAGGACACAAACCCATTGGACACAGCCATATCTGACCATCTTCCCCCCTCCCATTAACACCCAGCTCTGCCACCTACAACCCCCTGGTCATTCTGAATAGCTGCTCCCCGATGTGCAGCGTGAACAACAGGTATTAACTGGAGGCCCCAGACTAATCCCATCAGCCCAGCACCATTCACCACAAGCCGGGTGCTGGGGAAACAGGGATTTACACAGCGGCATCCCTGGCCATGCAGATGGGAGTCCCTGGCTGGGACTGCCCTGGAAAACAGGCAGTTCCCACAGGGACTGCCCAGACCACCCTCCGGGCTCCCACGGAACCCAAGGAGAAGAAGCAACATTTGCCTTCTGCTTTCAGACCCTGCACAGGCACAGAGCTCAGGAGGGATTCACTGCTCCAGTCTGCATTTGTATATTCAGGCCTCAATACAACTCTTTCCAAATCTCTGCAGGCAAAACCACCTCTCTCTTCAGCTACTTTCTGTGAACCAGAGACCTTGCCCAGACACCGAAAACCTCCTGTGGCCCAAGCTGAGGGATGCTGATGCTTTAAAATCCCCAAAATCACACAAGCTGATCTCCACTGTTGGTGTATGAGTGATAGTCCATTTACTAACTCACATACAGCAAAATCCCTCTTTTTATGGCATTCTCAATGCTCTGGTAGGCGACTGCTAACTGCCAAGCCATGTCCATAAACCCACCATAAGTACTGCCCCCCGGCATCCCACCCAGCCCTTCATCCCCTGCTTCTCTGCCTCTTACTCCTAATGAGTTTATGGTACTTCTGCTTCCCTTTAGGAAGGGAAAAGGCTGTAAAGGGAGGGGAAAAATAAAAGTGCTTTAAAGGAAGTATTAAAAAGCATTCTAGGAGCAGGCATGGCATGTGTTCATGAGCACATGGGCCACCATCGCCTACCCTCAGCACAGGCAGGATGCTGGATGGTAACGGGGGGGAGGCATTGGGGCAGGAGAAGTTCAGTTGTAGGAGCACATGCAGCTGCTGCAGCCTTGGCTGGATGAGCACTTTGCTCTGAGAAAGGCAGGATTCACAGCTACCCTCCCACCTCCAAACCTCAGTGAAGAGCAGCAGTACCACACACTACACTTCAAACAAGATGAATCCCAGGCAAGTCTCAGCACACAGATACCTGGAGCACCTTGTGGAGCGATGCTGAGGCTGGGAGCAGGCAGATCCCACTCCTTCCTGCACCCCAGGCCCCGCTGGCAGGGTTGCTGGCAAAGCACATCAGTAAAACATTTCAGTTCAGTTCAGCTCGCGGGGGCTTCTGACACTTGTGATGGAGGTTGCGCAAAACGCTGCAGCTCTCGAGATTTCATAAGCCTGAGATGGAAAAATCATCTCTGAATTACACAGGCAATGAGGGAGATGAACCCCAGCAGCTCCAGAGCACCAGAATTAATGAAGTTATTTTCCTATGGACTGGTGTGTCATGGTTTGTGCCCCGGCGCCTCGCACTGTGCAGTCCTCAACAGGAGCCCTCCCCAGCCAGGGTCAAGCCAACAGTGGTGTCTCTCATGTGGATTCTCTATGTCTTGCAAGCGGAGAGCTCATGTTGCAGCTTTGCCCCCAGTGGAGATGTCACCAGGCAGATGGACACAGCCCTGGGCTTAAGACATTAAGCATTCAGCATTAGGCACTGCTGTTCCCTGCCCCGACATCACCAAACCAGCCTGAAACCAGGCAGTGAATTCAAAAGCTGAGCACAAAAAGGAGGGGGATGCTGGGTGACCAAGAGAAGATACAGCCTGGGAGCTGCCAGGTCTCTAGGTCAAAGTGATCAGAGCAAGCCCTCTTACAGGACACACAGGGATAGCCTGAGATTTGGGGGTTTGTCTGAGATAGGTAACGAGCCCTACGTGTTCCCTCTCCTTCTTTTTGAATCCTGTTTTAGCTTAAGGACCTCAACAGCTTGTAAATGTTTCACTTTGCATAAACAAAAGCTGTCCCCAACTATGACAACTGCGTTGTAACTCCCATTTGTCAAATCATGGCCAGATAAATCTTCTCCCTATTTTTACAACCTGAAGTAGTTTAAAACAACAAAACCTCAGGCGACTGAGTATTTGAAGTATAATCACAATGATTTGACTTTATGAAACTGTGCACACTCTTTGCCATGGTGTCCACAGGCCAGTATCTACCAAACCAACATCCTCAGGAAGGAAACACCCACTTCTGGCTAGAGGGGTAGGAATATGCCAAACCTCATGGCTCACCTTGGAGTAAGGAAGATGCACGTGTGGTTTTGGGCTTTCAAGGCATAAAAATACTTAGGTGGGGACACCTGGGTGCTCTAGCGTAGTAGCCACTGCAAAACTGCCTTTGAAAGGGTTGTGGATTGTATCTTAAACAGGAGTCATGTGCCTAAGCTCACCCGAACCATGACCCATCCTTAAGGTCACCCAAACCATAACCCATCCCTAAGCTCACCCAAACCATGACCCATCCCTAAGCTCGCCCAAACCATGACCCATCCCTAAGCTCGCCCAAACCATGACCCATCCCTAAGCTCGCCCAAACCATGACCCATCCCTAAGCTCGCCCAAACCATGACCCATCCCTAAGCTCACCCAAACCATGACCCATCCCTAAGCTCACTACTGGCAGAGGCCCATGGAGCTGCAAGCAAGCCAGGAGAAAGCCTCTGGCAGATCCATGTCCTGCTCAGCCACTGCCTTTGCAAACAGAGCAGAGGGAAGTACAGGCAACACACTACTAGAAGACACCAAGATGCATCATCTACCAACCTCCAGCAGCACCTCGACACAACCAACAGGCCAACCTGCTCCCCAGATATGCATTAAGATAGATTTTGTAACCCACACATGGCCACTAGGGTGGCAGGAAGGAGGACTGCAGGCAGCACAGGGCAAACTGCTTTCCCCAGCTCGCTGCATTAATCTGCTTCTGCTTTCTTCTCCTGGGAATGTTCCATGGAAAGAACGATGCACACAAAGTTTGAACACTGGGAGCTATTGATACCTGCTGCTGAGTGTGGTTTCTGAGGAAAGCAAGGCAATCTGAAGAATTTTTCCAGTTTCCAGTGGAATTTTTATGCCTATCACAGCCCACGGCCCCAGCAAGCACAAGAGACCTGAACCCCTTCTGATTTTGCTGCTGTTCCACCCATATTTCATGACATGCTACAGCTTTATTTTTGTGCCTGCTGGGTTCTTACCTCAGAAAGAAGCTTCCCTCGTATTCATAGCAGCTCTGGAAGGCTTTGCCTTTTTAAGCTGACCACTTTCCATTGCACAGAAGAATAAATCCAAATGCACCAAGGCAGCCAAAGCCATTTATCAGGCTAAGTGGAAACCATAAATTCATGCTAACTGGAATCTGATGGAAACCAATTGGGATCCTCCTCCTCCTCCAGGCTCAGGTCTGGCAGGAAAGTCAAACATTTTATTGCCTTCTTTATGCCTTACTTACAAGTCAGTGGAGCCAAGAAGGGGCTGCTCCCTTTGAAGCCATGCTGTTGGGGTTCCAGGGCAGGCTCATTGACTTGAGTTCAAGCTCAGCTGACAGAGGCAGGCACCCACCCACCCCCCTTAACAGAGCTTAAACCTCTCCATTCCTGGCAAGTTTATCACATTTAACAAACATCCTCTTTTCAATACAGCCATGATTTAAATTAGCACATGGGAGATGATGGTAACAAGCTTAATTTGTCAAGTAAATCTAATCACATTGCCTCCTGAAGGAGGAGGAGTGCTTGTCTTTTGTGCCATTGCAGTCCTGCCCAGGGAGGGGGGAAATGTATTAAAAGTTGGGCTTAACTGAGCTGGCAGAACTTACACCCAGAAAAACTATGATCAGACATTGCACTGGGAGCAAAGGTGCAACAAGGAATTAAGCACAACCTAAAGAAACTATTGAAACTTTACTTCTGGCCACTGATTTGGGACTGGGGAGGGGACAACACCTAAGCAAAACTGACCTTCTTCCTGCTGAATGAGCGCATATGTAAAGAAAAACCACCCAGGAATGGATATCCTGTCAAAAAATCCCCTCCAAGACAAAAAAACAATTCCTAAACCTAACACCCTTGCTCTGATGAAAGATCCAAGCCTCTGTAACTGCCATGGGTATATAAACCAAACACAGAAAGAGGGAAAAAGTGAGTAATCCTGTTTGGAGAGCCCAAAGCCCAGCCTGCAGAGGATTAAGCCTAGGCCAGCAGCTCTGCAGCCTGACAATATCCTCCAGATCAACAGCAGTGCTGTTCGATGACAGAGGTTTGTTCCAATACATGCACCCACTCCCCTCCAGCTGTAGTTTCAGGCACACTTGTCTTTCCCTGCCCAACACCCAGGTGGGATCGGGAGCATTCCTGGCTTTGGAAACAGCTGATGGAGTCTCTGCTGCAGCTGACTTGGGCACCTCCCTGCTGCTTCAGAAAACCCAGTTACCTGCCTACAGCTGACATTTCTGTCCCAGTCCTTACAGGGCCAGA